CTCACAAAGTCTCCTCTTAGTTGGCAGCTTTGGGAACGGTGACCTTGCTTCTGCAACTTAGATGTTACTGGGAATCTCCTCTCCACTGAACTCAGTGCGAGTCCTGCTTATAAAGCACAAGCATACTTTACAAGAGCTGCTGAAGCTTCACTGTGAAGTGCAAAACTCAATGAAGGCAGTGATGCTGTTTAAATATCATGGGTTTTAATCTTTTTTTTTTTTTTAATTTTAAAGTAGGAATTTTACAGTTTTCTTTAGCAAAAACTTATTTCTGAACAAAGCTTGTTTGGAGACCTCCTTGTTGATGGCCCTAGGAGGTTTTTTTGCAACAACTACTTAGAATTTATTTTAAATACACCAAATATGATGAAAAATAGGAAGAGAAACCGAACTTTTGATAGAGCCTTCCTCTTTAATGTGCACTTCTTAGTACCAGAAAATGTCAGAAACTGGTTTTCCCAACACAAAACTGAGAAATAGGCTCTTTAGTTGTATGCGTACAGCCACTTCATTACCATCCCTGCCCCTGTAGACACCCTCTAGGTTCCTTCAGCAGCATCCATATGGCAAGTCTTCTGGTGCTCATTCCAAGACCTTGTTGTTCTCTGTGCCGGAGCTCCCCAGCGCTGCCGTCGCAGCAGTGGGCCACTCGCGTACTGGGGCTCCTTCATGGTCCCAGGTGCCATCTCTTCGGACTAAGCTTTTTCCCTCGGGTTTGGACCTTATCTTTATTTCTTTGCTTATGTCCCGTTGGCTGCATTGTCCAAATGAGACCCACCTTGCAGCTGTCTCCATGCATGGCTAGGAGGATCCCTTGTGTGAGCAGTGCCGACAGGGAGGCGTGAGACAGCCGAGGGTGAGCAGGGCAGGCACTATACGAGCTGGCACGCTGTGTTGGGATGAGCGGTACCTTTCCGAGGGTCGCTCACTGGAGCCGGCCCCATGTGCTGCAGCCGCCGTGCGTCCGGGCAGCACTGTGGCCCCTTGGGCGGTGGCACAGGCATGGTGGGGTGACCCTGCTCCCCACACTGGAGGGACCTGGCTTTCCCTTTCTTCTCTCTGCCCTGGTCCCTCCGATGCCAGTGTGCGGTGGCGGTGGGAGGAGAGCGGAGCGGTGTGCTGCAGCTGGGGACTGACCCCTCGGGAGGGCTTGGCAATTACGACTCTGCCCTGAGACAAGGGAATCTGGGTCCCACCATCAGCCCCGCAGGATCTGGGGAGGGGGTGTGTGATGCGATGTGGCTCGCACGGGGGGGGCCACAGCCATCGCTTTGACAAAGCGGTGGAGGTTTGGCAGAGGCATCTGTGCTGCTCCTGAGGCTGGGAGGGATGCGGGGAGGGGGGGGATTGGGGTTGGTGGGTGCTCAGTGCACACTGAAGCCCATGCTGCCAGATCTGCTCCCTAAGGCAGCCTAGCAGGGCTTGCCGGCCTCCTTGCAGGAGAAACAAACCCCCCTGGTCTGTCTGTCCATCTGCGTTGCTCTGCAGCCCCGAGCCGGGCTGGGCTCTTCGGGGTGGCACGGCGGGGGCCCTACCTGCCCTCTGGGGCAGAAGGAGCGTGGGCCCGTGTGGCAGACGGGCACATACAGTGGGGCGAGGAGGGCAGGAGGCTTTCTGCACATGAGGGCTTCCTTCAACAAAGCCGTGTCTGTCCGGCTCCCAATATTTCTGCCTGTGCGGTGGGGGACCGGGGAGGGCGGAGGAGCACAAAGGACCCCAGACAATAGGGCAAGCGGGAGCATTCCTCACACCCACGGCGGCCGGCGAACGAGCTTTGTCTCCAGCC